TTTAAGTTGCTTGTGAAATCTAGAATTGAAAATACATAACAAAGAAAGCAATCTGTCACTGAATTCCTCAACTGACTAAATGTTGGAGTATTTTTAATGGTGTATCTGTGTTAAACTGGTTGAGCATATGTTGCTAAGATGAAATATACTGCAATACATAGAAGGTTACTGCAAAAAAGCTGTAAAAGTATGAAAGTTTATACTACCTTTCCTTTTAGCTTTCATTGCAGAGTGGTTTGGAGTAGCAATAGACAGGTCCAGAAAAGTTCTGCCAGCTCTTGGCACCCAGTCATCCTGTGCAAAATGTCTGAACATAATTATACTTACCTTGTGGTTCAGTTGATTCATTAAACCTTACTTACTATTTATGATGTCCTTTGAACTCCTTAAATTGTGCTTTGACCATGCAGCACAGTTTCGAGTCTCCATTGTTCTTGCCTCGGTTGGAGTGTGCCTCACTGTGTTACACTTCAGTAAATGTGTTGGTAGAATTCTATGCTTATCACTCACATTGTACTTGGTCTGTGCTCTGGTGTCACAACCCATGACTGTGCTTGAATCAGTGATTGAGTAGAACCACTGATTGATAGTTCAACACCTGCAAAACACATAATTGAAAAACATTGTGGCTAATGGGGTAGTATAAGAACAGAGCCCTTTCACCTCTGGGACCTGGATTCTAATCAAATTAGTGCTGGGAGAATAAGAATCTCCTTTCTCTGTCTAGATTCTATCTGTGCTTTCACTGTAATATTCAGCAAATAGCTGACACATGCTTTGCCTTTGGCTGCTATGTTGGTTGCTATGTGTAATTGATCCAACAAACAGGGTACCAATGGCATCACAAAATTGGGCATCTGTAAACCTGCTCTTTTCATGCAAGCTGTTCGTGGAACTGGATGGTCATATTCCTGTGTAATCAAATCTTTGCACGATGCCACAGCTGGTCTGGCCTACAGAGATGGGCATTCAGTAAGGCTAAATAGGGAAGAGTGGCCAGAGATATGCAATTTCCCTAAGTCGGGAAGTATAGGCAAACTTACTGAAAGATTAGAAGAATGGCTACCATTGGAAATGTGATCACTTCTCCATTGCACAGTAGGGGCATTTTGAGGACTGGAGGGATTTCTGGCAGCTTTTTGATAATTTGAGATGAACTTGAACTTTAAGAGAATGGGGAAATACAGTAAAAAGAATCAAGGAATATGATGACAGCCCATGTTGCTCATTGAGTGAGAGGAGCAAGAAATTTTCAGAATTTATTCTGTTAAACTTAATTGCCAGTTGGAAATGCGTTAATCATTATTCATTTATGTTTTGCATGTCGATCAGCTTTGATAATAATTCTTTGTAAAGCATACCTCCACTGGTTTTGTTTTCTCATTGATATAAAATGAAAGTTTTCTTCCAGAATGAATTCATTATGGAATGGAGCTGAGTGGGAGACAGTCTGCATGTCTTTTCCTCATCATCCAGGCCTTACTGCTTAGCCTGACTGCAGAGTGCTCTTTTGAGATTGGTGTTGTTACATTATAGATGAAGCTTGATTGTGACATTATTTTGCCAAGGTTAAAAAATGGACAATTCCCCAGCGTCCATGAGCTTCATTCTGAAAAAGCTATGCACCTAATATAGAACTAATGCAAAATGGTTTTGGCAGACTTGGTTTGAATTTCTGGGATGATTAGCAGAAGTTTTTTTCTTTAGTAGTTGAGTAGTATTTTTATTTGTTCCTATCGATAATTCTCATATTAGATAGGTCTGTTTAATACTTGATGTTTATTGTATTATTAGACATAATGTCTAATGGTATTGCTTTTGCATTACTCCTGATCAAGCCTTTATTTATTACAAACAGCATAATTGAACTACAGTGTTGATAGGTCTAAGAAGCAGGTTAGATTAGCAAGCTTTTAACAGCCAGTCTGCTTGCATGAGATGAACTGCAATTTCCTTTAACTAATTACTGTGAAACTAGAATACATTGTCTTTGTGCCTGTCTCAAACTCTGCTTCCTAGCCACCGACACTCTCTCTCTACCTGGCAACTCTCTGAGGCTGAACCAGACTGTTTGCGATCTTGGTGTGATATTTGACATAGAGATGAACTTCCTTCCATGTATTCAAACCATCATTTCCAGTTTTGTCCCACTTCACACCTGGCCTTAGCTCATCCCTTGCTGAAATCCACATGCATGTCTTTGCTACAGTTAGACTTGAATATTCTGAAGTAGTCCTTGCTGACCTCCTGACCTTCTACCCTCTGTAAACTTGAGGTTGCTCAAAACTCCATTATCAGTGTCCCATTCACTGAACTGACCTGTGCTTGATAATCTCCATTTGTTCTCTGTTAAACAATTGACTTGATTTTGAAATTCTATCTTTGGTTTTCAGTTCCTCCATGGCCTCCTCCCACTGTGATCTCCACTGGTTACACAATCCACCAGATAACTGCACTTCTCAAATCTTGGTTTGGATTTTCAAATTTTAATCACTCCTTAATTGTTGACTATGCCTTCAGATGCGAAGGCTCAAGGGTCTGGAATACTCTCCATAATTCTCCCTCGCCTCACTATCCTCATTATTACTCTCCTTAAAACCTAGCATCTAGCCTAATCTCACCGTATATGGCCTGGTCTCTGATGTTGCTTTGTAGTGCTGTTGTGAAATACCGAAGGATGTTTGATCTTCATTAAAGCCGCTATGTCACTGCAAGTTGTTGTTGGTGGTGATTGAAGTGATTGCTGGCGTCCTCGCATTGAGTCAAGTTGAATTTCTTGCATTTGCAATTGCCCAAAATCCTTTTCCCCCTTGAAAGGGCCATCTAAGGAACAAAAACAGAAATTACTGGAGAAACTGAGCAGGTCTGGCAGTACCTGTTAAGAGAAAATGTTGAATCGTTAATTCTGCCCCTCACTCCACAGTGCCGGCCAGACCTGCTGAATTTCTCCAGGTATTTCTGCCTTTTTATCAGATTTCCAGCATCCGCAGTTCTATGTTTTACTTTCGGGATATATAAGGACTGCAGCAATGAATGCTCCAATACAAACTATGAATATGCTGTGATGGACTTCGTTACAATCCAGCTGAAACCTCCAAGAAAGGGTGTCTTTGAATTGTGGAAGGGTGTCACTGTAAATCACATGCACAACTACCTCTGCTCTCCATTCTCCAGTTCACAACCTCCTGAGAGAATCTCTCAATGAACGCCGTTCCAACCAATCAGGACGCGGGAGTAACAAGCCCACCAGCATTCGCCCAATTAGCCGTCACCGGATGCGGCATTTCCTCTTCAATTGGCCAATGGGCGGCCGGGCGGACGCGTTTTACCCAATAGCAAACCGGCATGCAAATAGAGCCGTGGGAAGCGGAGGCGTGTGGAGCAGGCCGACGGGGTTTGTAGTCCACCGTGCCGAAGCTGTCGGCTGGCTGAACCGGTAGGCAGACTACAACTCCCATGACGCACCGCGGGGATGCCGCATGCGCAGTGCCTTGAATCTTCCTTCCCATTCATGAGTTAGAAAGAAAAAAAATTGCATTTCACTGGCAGCGGGGCTGATGGACGGGGCTGAGTTGGAGATTCTGCAGTTTATCAATGATTCATCCATAACCTCCAGTGTGAGCCTGCAAAAGCAACGACTGCATCTGCATTGTCTCCTGGTGGTTAGTGCTGTGGTCTGGGGTGTTACTAAGTTTATTTATGCATTGTTTGTACATTCGGTATTGATTTACAACAACATTTAAGGAAAATACTGCCCCACCATCCACTGCCAATCGTTTTCATTCACAAAATTCGCGGAATCCGCCTGTGTGCGTTCTCAACGCCAAGCTGTACTGCATCTACAAAGCAGAGCATCCCCCATTGTACCTGGGTGTTAGCGAGGCTAGTTATCATTCTGGGGACGTTTGAAGTAAGTATGTTTTACTTATTACCGCCGCACATGTTGCCTTTTATTATTCAAATATCCCAATCCTGCGATCCGAACCTTTTTTTTGCCTATAAATTAGTCCAGATAATCCAGCACGGATAGCACCAGAATTATTATTTATTACGTTTGAAAATAATTTGTTGAATGTACACTGAATTGTTTTTTTTTCTGAACAGATTTCAAAGTGCTTTCCGCTCTCGCTCACTGAAAGCAACCGTTTATGAATTTGCAAAGCGCCGATTCTCCTTAAACCTAAATGCTATATCTTAAGCGTTCGAGAGCGGAGCGAAGGAACACGTACTCGGGCTGTTAATCGGGATAATACGTTGTTGGGGAGGTCTCAGTACAGATTTTGTTTGTGTTAAATAAAATGTAAAACGGAGAATCAAAAGATTGCGGGGTTTAAAAAGACAATTTCCGAGTTAATGCTTTAAACGGCGGACACTGAATTTATTGTATAAACCCGTCTCTCGCAATTACAAATGAGGGTTATTATGATAATATGTTCCATTGTATCTTTCAATGACTTGAATCGATTATTCAAATTGATGAAAAACACATCCTGGCCTCCCGGAGTGCTGCCAAATGGATCCATTCATTAAACGGCAATTTTATGAATGAAATTCCATTATTGACTGCGCCCGCGATGTAGACTGCCGTCTTCATAGTTGAAATTATAATAGTGATTCATCCTTCGATCTCAGTGTGCTCGTTTCAATGTATTATTCAGAAATCAAAATATTGTCCCATTTAGAACATGCCCGTTGTATTTTTTGACAAGAAGATGGGCACAAATGTGCCCTTTATGTCTGAGTCGTGCTGAAAAGAGAATTTTTAATTTATCAGAATACTGTTTGAATAATTCAAAACGGAATATATCTAATCGCTTGCTACACAGAAGCCGAGTTTAAACTGGGGCGTTTTGATTTTCCTTTAACCTGCCTCCGTCCGTCAATCTGGTTGCTAGTAACCTCCATGGCTTGGCTTTATGCATGCATTTACACGCCTGTATGTAATGCAAACATTGCTGGAGATTATTGTACGGGTTTTCTGTACAACAGCCTTGCCCTCTTTCCTGGGTTTCTGCAGCAAATCTGATTTACGAATGGGACCTGATAGTCAGCGCCTACAGTGCGAACGAACAGCAGAATCTTGAAAGAACAAGATTGAATGCAAAAAAAAAACACAATTAACAAGGCAGATCCCTGGCCTGAAACGTTCTCCTGGTAATCGTGAATATAACTGAAGTGGAACGGAAAATTTGAGAGTTTGGGGCGGGTAAACATGATTATTTCTTTAAAAGAAAACAACAAACTAAGGACCATGAGTTCATTTATCCGAAGTTTTCTCTTTCTCATGCCTGTTTTTTTTCTGGGGGGTGTGTGGGATTGTCATAACTTCGTTGGTCTATAAGGGAACACAAGCTAAATGATAATAAAACTGAATGCAAGTTGTATCTAAATCCAAATTAATCCTCAGGACTGGTGGCTTGGTCTGATTGACACTATTGAGGTTCCCACCTTTGAAGGACATGTGACCTCGACAACAAATAGATGAGAACTGGAGAAGAGTTGATAAATAAACCTTTGAGCCACCAGGCGAGCTGTACTGCACCGTGAGTAGTCTGGGACCTATATCGGGCTCAGAGACCTCTTTAAAGTTGGCCAAACCACCGGATTCACTGGTCGTACTTTAAAGCAACTTGAGTTCCTTGCTCAGGTCAGGTGCACTGCTCTTCTAGGGTGATGTTTGGTCAGGTTTTGACTCAACATTGCAGCATTTTGTTTTGTGTCTCTGATTTTTGTTTTGGTTTTGTTGACAGGCACTGGAAATCTGATTAACGATCAAAGAGGATTGGGTCTAAATGGAGCGCCGGGTCTCTCTAGGCGGGAATGCAGGAAATCCCGCTTCTCTATTCCAACCCTTTTTGGACGGCCGCTTGCCTTACGGGAGGTTGCAGCACACGCCCATCCTCCCCATGGACCAAATGAAACCCAGCCGCCTGGAAAACGACTACGTGGAGAACCCTGTGACCGTCCAACCCTGCAGGAACGCCAGCCCCCAGAGCAGGTCAGGCCAGCCGCCGGAATCAACAGCGCTCAGCCCCCGGGAGCCGGGCTGTGAGCACTCTGCCATGTCCTGGGGCTCTGTGACCGGCCGACCCAGCTCCATTAGCAGCAGCAGCAGCACCTCTTCCGACCAGCGGCTACTGGACCACGCGGCGCCCCCTCCTGTAGCCGAGCAGCAGGGCTGCCCGAGGGCTGTTCGCTCGCAGCCCAAGTCGCCCCCCAGCATTAACAAAGGCGTCGACCTCAAAGAGACTTCTCACTGTCAGGAGAGCGGCAAACACGTGGTGTTATGCGAGGGATGCGGCAAGTGCAAGTGTAGCCGGTGCATATCCCCCAGGACTCTGCCGTTCTGTTGGGTTTGCAGTCAGAGGTGCCTCTGCTCCCCGCAGAAAGTTGTCAACTATGCCACCTGCATGTGTCTGGTAACAGGGATTTTCTACCATTGCACCAATGACGATGATGAGAGATCCTGTGCTGACCACCCTTGCTCCTGTTCCCACTCTAACTGTGGTGCCCGCTGGTGTTGCATGGGGGCCATGTCTGTGTTCCTGCCCTGTCTGCTCTGCTACCTGCCGGCCACTGGGTGCGTCAAACTCTCCCAAAAGTTTTATGATACTGTAAGCCGCCCAGGATGCCGTTGCAAGAACTCCAACAGTGTGTACTGCAAGGTCCCGGAGGTGTCAGCCTGCAGTGGGGAGAAGCCCTCCTCCTGATGCGGGAGGGCCGGTGGGGTGGGGTGGGTGGGGGTGAAGTGTGATGTGGTTAATGGGACTGTAACTCACATCTGTACTTTTCCAGTTCAGTCTTTGCTGCCAGTTTCTGCTCTGACAAAAATTACATGGTCTATACAGTAGTGAGTGGGCAAAACCTTCCCGCCTTTCGGAAATGGACATAACATATAATTAAAAGAAACTTTTAAGAAGCAGTTAAATGTGAGGGTTTTGCAAAGCTCTAGAAATCCATGCCTTTATTGTCAACATTTGCAGGGTGTTCCATTCAAAAACTGATGGGCTTCATTTTCTTGGGAGAGTGAGATGTTTAGGAAAACATACTAATTCTAAGCAGTCAAACCTCAAAATTCCACCTTGTAGTACATATTGGCTTCCGTTATTCTGATCAACTTCAGGCCTATTTCTAATTCTAATATGCTTCACACATTTTGGTTTTTATTTGACATGCCACATAGAACTTAATGAGGCACATTTTTATATGGCTCAAAAGTTCCATTGCTGTCGCTGCCTACACCAAGACTTTTTCTGAAATATGATCGATAGCAATTATTCCTTTAAACTTCCAAATTACTTGATTTGCTGTTTAAGGTGGTATTTAAAGTCTTGATCCATGTTGTGCCAAAAGGCTCTGTGTGAAAATGGCAAATAAAGCAAAGTAACCCACATCGTAATCACAGCAAAATTCAGTGAACTAAATTGAAAGAAATTGGTATTACTGGACAAAGTCACAATGAGATTTTATGAGATACTTTAGATTAAAATCTTGAAGAAATACAGTGAAGTATTTTCAACGTTCCTGGTAAGGTTTCCCACTCTCTACTCCACAGATTATTTAACCTTCAAATTTAAACATCAAATGTGTTAACTCTTTCTGACGTCATGCAACAGAATGTAATTTCCTGAATGTTGGAAAGGCATCGTGGTTAAATGTTTCTGTGTATGTTATTTGTTTGCAGCAAAATTTTGGCATTCCCCTCCTAGTCCTGATTAAACCTGGTTTCTTGGCCTCTGCTTCACAAGAGTTTCTTAACACATCAACAATGCCAGTGGTGAACGGGATTTTTTTTGAGCAGTGAGAGAACTGGTATTTCACCAGTAAGCATGAGTGGATGAAAATGGCTCTTTTTAAGCTAAAATAAACTGTGTATATAACTGCTGGTACAGCATTTTAAGAAGCTAATTGTATTATATATAAAAATGATAATTTAAAATTATTACCATGGCTCTATAAATAGATATATAAAGGAGGGAGAAAAGGCTCATGCTGCCTTTGTTTTATTAAATTATTTACAACAGCAGTATATGTGTGTAGACAATTAAGTTTGCATGATCAAAGCCATGTGGAGTCCTATAGCCTAACCATACAGCTCTAAAGGAGTGCTGTGATGGGAGTAAGAATCGGCAATATTTGCATCAGTTAAATGAAGCAAGCTTTGTAAGATCTTCTCGGAAACAAACTAGGAGGAATGATCAGAGCATCTGATAATTAGAGAGATCTAAGAATTAGAACGACCAAAGAAAATGAAATATTTCTTCCCCAGCGTTTCTCAATAGAATTATCATCAGTTTTTGACCTTCTTGTGCATTATTCACAAGAGCATTATGCTCCAAAATAAAAAAAAAGTTATTTTGAATGAAACTTAAAAATGCTTACTGGTTAATAAAATGGGAATTTTTTTAAAGAAAGATTTGAAACCTCAGTCATTTTAACATTTACTGCATGATAAAGGTGCGTGACAGCAATTGTTAGAAGATAATTATTTTCACATAGAGAAACTCTTGACTGGTGGATGACTAATTATTCTGCTTAGAAAACCTGAGAGTAATTGGGACTAAACTGACCAATGACTTGAAACTGATACCACTACAGGATCATGGAACTTTGATAATGTAGTGCACAAGGATTGGAATGCAGATGTGTTTTGGAGAATTGTGAATATGTGCTTTGAATGGTTCTGACATCATATCTTTACGACGTTTATTTATTGAGAAGCTCTATAAATGCATCTTAAAATGTTAATGAAGTTGGTTAACTTGTGAGCATCTCAATCCTTCTTCCAATTCTTCCCTAAATATTGTTGGAAACTGAAGCAAACCTAACATTTGCAATATCTAATGTGATTACCCACATGGGATAGCATGACTAATGGAAACAGGATGTTGAAGGCCGATCAGAATAGTGATCAGCGAAAGGCTGAAAATATCTTCAGTGAGGGTGCACTTACTGCTATTCTCACTCAACTAGGAAATCTGTAGTTGCAGTGTTAGTCCTGAGTTCTACCAAATGCTGGAAAGAAAGACAGCGTAGTATTGCAGTGCTGAACATGAATGTTGACAGAACAAAGCAGATAGTCTGAATGCAGGATGTGAAATGACAGTTTCAGTAGTCTGATGTTCCGTAGACAAGTCGCAGACAAGTGCTTGCCTCTTTGTTGTTGATTCAATTTATCCAAAACTGATGGCTTGTTGTAATTCCATTCACAAAGGATAAATGTGTATTGTGTGATGTTTTCTTTGACAGGAATGTAGCTTGGGTGGTGGTGGCAGGGGGAGTGTGGTAGGGGTGGGGGCTACGTTGTTGATGAGGAGGCGGTGCTGGGGAGAGGTTCGAAGGATCATTTTTCCCATATCTTGCCCTCCACATACGCATCTTCCTTCTGCCCCAGTCATCCCTAATATGTACGCATAGTGATACCACAAACCCAATTTGAACCAGGCTGAGGTGCTGTATTGTACGAGTGCCTGCAAGTGACATCTATTACACAGTTTCAGCAAGTTTTAATTCTAAAATACTCACCCTTGTATTCAGATCTCTCCATGGCTTTGCTCCTGTCTTCCTCTGTACTCTCTTCCAGTCATGCAACCCTCACAGATATCAGTTACCTTCCACTTCCAGCTTCTTGACCATCTCCATTTTAATTGTTCCATCATTGATGGCTGTGCCTTAAGCTGCTAAGGACCTAAGTTCTGAAGTTTACTCTGTAAACCTCTTCACCTCCATTTACTCCTTTAAGACACTCCTTAAAATCTACCTCTTCGATAAAGGTTTTGGTCATCTGCCGTAATGTCTCCTTAAGTGGCTCTGCATCAAATTTTGTTTGATAAAGGTCCTATGAAGTGCTTTGAGCTGTTTTTCTACATCAAAGGCCCTATATAAGTAAAAATTGTTGTTGTTGTTACTAGATTTCTGTTTAATATAAAATGCAAACTGAATGTAGGTACTGGTGTGGAACTGTATTTTTCTCATCTGCCTTGTTCAGTATGGGGTTGCCCTTCTCTCAAATGTGTTGCTGTTTGTAAGTGTGCATATAAGGCCGATAAAACCTTAAACATATCGCTCCATTCTGTTGAATGCAACATGCAGTTGTGGCCCCTGTGCAAGTTCCATATGTGTGCTGTAAATACAGGAGTTCTAAAGACAGGTAACTTTGCTTGCAATCCATCCCATTGGTTGAGAAGTTCTTCTGCTCAAAGTCATGTAGCATAGTGGGTGTCTTTGTGTTACAGTGATATACTATCTCTCTTTCCCAAACTCTGAAAAGGAAGGAATTGACTGAAACAGACCCAAAAACCAGTTAAGAGTCTGATTTGTTTCCATATGCTTGTGTCACCATAACATCATTGAACATTGAGGGCAGAACTTAGGTCACTTGATCATAACCTTTCTATCAACAAAGAAATGAAAGGGGTAGCAGGCATGCACAAGATGCTTGCTATGTAAAGCATGAAGAACCTATTATCTACAGCACTATCTGCAGGCTTCCCTAACTGTCAGTTGTGATCATTTAATGGAAGCATGGGCTTAATGGACAAAAGTAGGAGCCCTACAGAGGCGATGTGAAACCAACTGTTCTGATTGCTGGCGAAAGACACAATCTGGAAATGCTCATGTTTGATGTTGATTGAAGGCTAATCAATCAACTAATCAAAGATTCCACTCCACCCTCTGTCTTGACTTAGACATCTCCTCTTAGAAGCGGAACTTCTAGAGGGCTATCAGAACTCATGGATCCATACCCTAGCATATATCAATGTAAGAGAAATATAGCTTATCAAGGTTGTAAAGAAATCCGTAAAAAAAATTGAGCTAATCCCTTTCTGCAATATCACGATCACCATGCCACCAAAGTAATCTAATTGCACAAGCAAGAGAGAGAGCGAGGGAAAGGAGGAGTCAGAATTATTGTACATCCCTGCTGAATACCAGAAAAATTCAACCAAGTTGGCACGTATCAAAATCTCCATTTGTGTGGTACTCTTTAAGACACAACTTGAGTAATTGTGAACTTCATTGAAATTCATGCTATCAGTACCAGTCATTACAATTTCCTGTTCATGTTTAACTTGGCACCTTTGTGTTAACATGAAAAGCTGTGTAGAGTTCTGTTTCTGATTCTGTTGGAAAAGGGTTCTTGTAAGAATATTTATTTGAAGGTTCTATTTTATAGTATTTATTTTAGAATTTCTGTTGTGAGATTTCCTTGATTATGTAAAATAAAGGGAAAAAAGTGATGTATGTATGAATCAGAAAAAATATATTGATGATAAAAAAAAGCTTTTTTTGTTTGTTGTTCTTCAACAGAACTGTACATTGGAATGGTCTTGTATTAGTCTAAGCTTTCCTCAGTGGCATTCTTAGATAAATATGTTGCAAGGAAAGGGAAAATAATGGCCTCTGGCATCATCCTTGGCTTCCTGAGTTAGCCGAGCTCAGCTTGATTGGCACAAGGATTAAGAAAGCGAAATTGGCCAGGTTGAAGTATTGGATTAGGAAAGATGGGCCTTTAGTTTGTAGAATACCCTGTAAGTTGATCTAATTTTCACCCATTCAACCATGGGATGTGGGCATGGCCAACATTTATTGCCGTCCTTAAACTGAGAGGCTTATTCAGCCATTTCAGGGGCATGTAGAGCCAATAACATTGTGATCTGGAGGCACATATAGACCAAGAAATTGAAGAACAGCAAATTTACTTCCTAAA